ACAGCCCCAGCTAGCTTCTCTGAGCAGAGCTGGGCTGCAAGAAGCCCAGGGGGGAGAGAGGCAGCGATGACAGCTGTAGCCACAGCAACAGCCACTCTGTCCCCGGGGATGCACCGTGGGACGGGGATGGAGGCGACAGCCACAGCGCCTCCCCCGCACGTCCCCTCCTCCAGCCCCTCGCCCACTTGTTGGGACAGCAACAAGTTTTCGCTTGTTTGACCCTTCCCCATCGCCCCCACGCAGTGCCCAGCTCCCAGATCAATAATGCATGCCCCCTGAAACAGATGCCTCTCTCAATACATCAAGTCACCTTGCCCTCCCGACAGGAAACCCGAGCCTCCGGCCATCAATCTTTCATTCCCTGGACATAATCTTCAACTCGATGCGACTGCAAGCGGCTGCTTCCCTTTCACTGTCTGGGGCACAGCATGCCTGGGATGCAACAGGGAAACTCAGCCAAAAATCCAGCCACAAACCCAGGCAAAACTTGTCCAAGTTCCAGGGATGCTTGGCCAGACAGAAGTCAAGATGGTGATGAATAAAACATGGTTATATCTGCATTACCCACGCTTCCCCTGCCCAGGCAGCTCTGCCCAGCTCCTGGTCTGGACATGCAGGAAAGGATACAACTGCAACAGGCACAAAACAGCTTTTGCTGTTGCTAAAATTCTTTCCTTTCAGTCTATCCCAGTGTAACTCCTTTACACAGTGCCCACTCAACTTGCTTGCTGCAGAGCTTTTCTGCCAATGGACACAGTTGGCCAGTTTAAGCAGTAAGAGGATTTTATTTCTCACCATGGAAAAAATAAATATGTCCTTGCAGGGAATCTTTTCTGAGGAAAAAAACTACAGATGTCAGAAGAAAATAGAAAGAAGGGAGCGGGGTGGGGGGGAAAAGGGAGTAAGAGGAGAGACAAGCAAAGCTTTTCTCCCAATTTTCTGTGGGGTTAGACTGTATTCCTGCAGGATTTCACATAGACAGCTCCAGGTTCTCAGTGCAAATCCTGCCCAGAGACTTTCAGCCACCTGTCTGACACTACACATTTGCTTCTCAACACCTGATTTTCCACATGTGCCCAGGACCTGTCTTGTCTGCACTTCACCACCTTGGATTGGAGTTATTTGTCCCTTCCCTTGCTCCAGGGTAGGCAGCACTTGCCCTGCAGGCAGCATCAGCTGGATCCTGGGGCAGAGTGGTGCAGCACACATGGTCCATCCTCACCTGCAGAAGCTGCTGGTTGCTATTCCTTCTCTCCACCCAGTAAAGCCACCAGCAGAGCACTGGTCTGTGCATTGGAGGGGGCAGGCACCCAGGGACAGACCCTGGCCACAATCTCACTGCATTTAGTCTCTCAGTGCACATTTTTCCAAAGGACTTCCTCTATCCCACCACTTTAGGTGCTTGACTTCAAGGGGTTTGAAGGGCATTTATCTGCTCTTCCACCGGTGCTGCCATTCTGGCCATCCTGGTGTACCCTCCACTTGGATATGAGCCATACCCCCAGCAGGCATCAACCTCCAAGGTGGCCCCAGAAGAGAGACGGGGTCTGGCTCCTCAAAAATATCCTTGCAGCAGCCCAGTGCCCTCTGTTCCCCATGAGTAAAAAGGGCCAGGAACCAGCCAGCCCTTCTCCTTCTCTTTGGCTGATGGCACCTTGTGACATGTCTCTGGTTAGGGGGTGCCCTCAGCATGCCAAAGTTGCCCCCCAAATTTGTGCATCCAGGTGCCTCCAGAGCCAATGCTGCCTCCCAGCACAGCCAAAGGAGAGGGGCTAAGGATGTGGTGGATGGGCAGAGAAGGTCCTTCCTTCTTCTCTCTAGAGAGCCAGGAAGCTGCCTGCTTTCCACAAAGACTTTTGCAGACCCAGTAGCTCCTGGGTCCCAGCTCACTGCTCTTTTTTTACCACCTGACAGCATTCCTGCCCATGTGCACCATGGTTATGCTTCTCCCAAAGCAAACATCCATTCTTACCAGATGTGTTCCCAAAGCAAGATCCAGACTTGGGACTAAGTGGCAGCTCAGCTGTGGATGGGAGCAAAGGTCCCCACCTATCCCCAGATCTTGCCACCTCCCCCAGAAAAAGCAGGTACCAAACTCTATTTTTGGGTAGAAGAAACAAAATGTATTTGATTTCTCTACTTTCTAGATGAAAAAAAATACCCTTTAAAAGACTTTTTCTCTCTACCCAGTGGTCTTGAAAGAGATCCCAGAAGCAACTGAAAGCAGATGACCTCCCACCAGCATCAAAGCCCTGGTTCAGCATTGCCTTCCCAAGGTTCTAAGCTCAGGCAGCAAATGCTGTTCCAATCTAATGCTACTCCGAGCAAAACAGAGACTGCAAAAACACTCAATGAACCCTCCCAGCTGTAGCTAAAAAGCAGGTTTCCAGCCCCAGGAAGCCCACAGCAACCTTTGATAGCTTCCAACCGCCTCCCCAGCCTGGCAGTCTCCATGGCAGCCTGGTTTTCTTGCCAGCACCTTCAAGAGAGCTGCCTGGGATACCTAAAAAAAATAATAATTAGCCCCTTGTCCCTGCAGGAAAGGCTCAGGCCTGACTGCAGTCCCTGACCCCCCAGCTCTCACTGCCATTGCTTCCCCTCCATCTGTTTCTCTCCAAAAGCTGGGATGACATGGGAGTATCGCAGCAGGAGGCTGCTCCGGGGGTTCCCCACCACCACCTCACCCTGCCTCACACAGATCTAGCACAGTGTCAAGCAAAATCCTTCGCCAGCTTGTCTGCAACCTCCTCTAAGCCAGCCACGGAATCTGATCATAATTCCCCTGGGAGCAGATGTCTTCCTGAAAATATGGCAGAAATGGGAATGAAAAAACAGAACACACTGGGTGCACACAAAGATAACAAGGCTTCAGAAACCAGGAAGATGTGAATAATCCCTCATCCTCTGCAAACAACAGACCTCAGTGCCTCAGCAGAGGGGATGAAAGTAGCACTGGGATTGTTGTTCCTCATTTGATATGGAATCTGCTCTTTGCTGAGCAAACAGAATAATTCAACCACTGTGATGGGGTGGGGCAGACTGAAATATCCAAAACCCACCTCAGGAGGGGGTTCCCTTAAAGACTAGAGCATCCCAGTTGTGCATCACAGGTGTTGGAGAGACAGATTTGAATTCAGAGAGGAAACAGCAACTTCCCGGAAGAGTGACGGTGCAACAGGGCATGGAGAGATGTCCAAGATGCTGCAACAGCAAGACCACCCAATACAAGCTATTTTCCATAACCACAGGGAGGTTTTTACACCACCCCCAGCACAGGAATCTGCTGCCAGAATCATCAGGTCCCTGCCCACCCTGCACCGCTGCTGCTCCTTGGGGGAAGTCGAGTCCCTTCCCCTTTCCTGCTGACAGGGCACCTCACGTCACGCCCCACGGTGACTCCCAGCACCGGGCACAGTTTGCCAAGCAGTGGGCAACCAAGGTCAGCGAAGGTCAGTGCTCCTAGAGAAACCCAGGCTGACACATCTCCCTCCCTGGCAGCTGCAGGGTGCCAGGAAGGACAGCACCGGCAGCACAGGAGCAGCCGGGCATGGCCAGTGAGCAACAGGCAGCAGCCTCTGGGGCACACAGTGCAACAGGCCCTGCCTGCCCAAACCCCACGGACTGCTCTGCAAAGAGGGGCCAGCACACCCAGAGCTCAGGTGGGTGCAGGGGTCCATCCTGCTGATTTTTAACTTTTTTAATTATTGTTCCAGTTTTACAAAACAAGGAAGACTTAATTAGAGCCTGAACTTCAGGATCTCAGCTTAAGCCAGAGGCAATGAACCTGAACACAAACACCATCAACAACCACCAGCTCTCCTGAGCAAGAAGCAGGAGAAACATCTAAGCATCATTGCTGGCGACTCTCCAGAAGAAACTGGAGGGGAAGGACGTTCTCGACCATGCTGAAGGAACAAGGATGCTCATGCCATGAAGGACCAGCAGGCACAAATTCTCAGCCCGGCACAAAGGTGCTAACCGGAGAGAGCTGTGAGGCCAATGTCCCAGCTCCCTCCCGGGACAAGCTGCGGGATGGATTCACACCCGACCGCACAGAGCAGGGCTCCAGGGGCAGCTGCTCTCACATCCCTGCTCGCATATTGATTCGGTTACATAAATTATGCAGCACCTCTACTCCTGATTAATACTGCTAATTGAGCTGGCAAGGCGGGGGGCAGGAGGGAAATACCGTGAGGACACACAGTCAGTCATGCACCAAGCACACTCAGAAATGCAGAAGCCGTCGTGTCGGGGTGCTGGCTGGGTCCTGTGGGGAGCGGGCGGAGAAATCGGGAAGCAGGAATTCACTCGGGCTCTCCGCAGCTCCTCTGGGCTGGGGAGCAGCCGGGGCCGAGCATCCCCGTAGGCAAGGGAGCGGTGGCCGGGGCTGTGGCCAGGCAGATGTGCGTGACACATCTGTCCGAGCACGTCGCGGCGGGTGCTGAGCATCAGCCCAGACAAAGGATGCGGGAGAGCCCCGCACCCGCCGCACCCCGGGGCCAGACTCCCCTCCCGCACCTCCTCCCGGCACCCAAACGCTCCGAGCCTGACTCAGTGTCCCCCTCCCCCGCAAACCGCAGGAAACCCGCCGGCTCCTTCGGGAAGCTTCATCTTATCGCCCCCATCGCCGCCGCTGTCGCGACACCGCCCGGAGCCCGCCGCGGCGGGGCCGGGGATGCGCGGGGCGCGGCCCCGGGGGTGCCGATGGCGGGGGGCGCAGCGGGGCAGCCCAGCCCGGGGCGGGGGCCGAGCAGCGGGGCAGCCCCCGCCATGGGGCGGGGGGACACGAGCGCTCGGCGGGCGCCGCTCACCGTGGATGCCGGTCTGGTGAGTCATGGCTCCGCTCGGCTCCGCTCCGCTCGGCTCCGCTCCGCCGCGTCCCGGGCAGGAAACGGCTGGGCAGGCAGCACCGCCCGTTCCGGAGCGCGGGGCCGCTCCGCTCCGCACCGCCCCGGGGCGGGACTGCGGCCGGGGCCGGGAGGAGCCGCACCTGCCCCGCCATGTCGGGCGAGTGGCTGCGGCGCTGGCGGAGGGGCGGCCCCGCGGAGCGCCCCGGTGGAGCCCCGGCACCGGGGCCGGGCCCGCCGCCCCCCGCCCTGCGCTACCGCCGGCCCAAGTTCCTGCCCGGCGGCGGCGAGGAGGCCCCGCGGGGCGGGCGGGCCGTGAGGGGAGCCGGGCCCGAGCGGCCGCTGCCCTGGGGCGCGGGATATGCCGAGTGAGTGGGGCCGGCAGCGGGGCCGCTCCGGGAGGGGCTCCGGGCGGGGTTAGGGGCGCTCCTGGGGTGCTGATACTGGGGAATAGGGCTGGTTTAGGGGGTGTGGAGGGTGCGGGGCGGGCTTAGGGGCGCTCCCGGGGTGCTGATACCGGGGAATAGGGCTGGTTTAGGGGGTGTGGAGGGTGCGGGGCGGGCTTAGGGGACTCCTGGCGGGGAGCCGGGGCGGTCGCACCCCGCCTGCCCTTGCTGCCCCCTCGGCTGCAGCCGCCCCTGCCCGGAGTGGCCGCCCGCAGGTACAGCTCGCCCTCCTGAACCTTCTGCGGACGAGGAGAGAGCGGGTTCCTGCTCCTCAGGAGGTTTGAGTGGCGGTGAATCCTCCAGCCCCTCTCGGTTCCTGCCGGGGGCGGTGGAGACACCCCTGGCCACCCCTGCCAGCCGCAGGGCCCGCACCAGGGCTGGGACAAGTGTCCGGGACAGCCCCGAGAGCAGCACCGCTCTTAACAGTGTCTTTGAAAAGGAAGGGGAAGACCACATTTTTCTTGGTTTGCTGTTTTAAATGGCAGAGGGGATGGATCAGGCAGAACTCCAGCCAGGAGCTGTCCCCACGTCCTGGCCAGAACCACATCACGACCCTACGGTGCTGGGATGGCACAGCGTGAAATGCGAGGAGAGCTCGCTCCCATCCAGGGACAAACATTACCAAGGCTGGAAGGAAAAGCAAGGGTGGTGTTTTTGCAATGCACTGTGTCAACAAGGAAATGGCACGGTGTGGGCTGCTGACGAGGGCTGCCTGAGGCCAGGGTGCAGGTCTCTGTGTCCCCAGCTGGGCTTTTCCCTGCTGCACACCCTGATTTACTATTTCAGTCATCAGCAAAGAGATCCTTGAGTTTGAAAAGGGAGCAGGGAGGATGGGGCTGGAAAGGATGGGCAAGGTGCAGCTGTTTGCAGGGGCTGCAAAGCAGAGGTGCAGTGTGTCTCCACACCTTACCTGGAGTGTTTGCAGGGTTATCAATGCTGAGAAGTCAGAGTTCAATGAGGACCAGGCAGCCTGCTGTCAGATCTCTGTCCGGAGGAGAGAGCCAGGCCTGGAGGAGGATGAGGAATGGCTGATCCTGTGCTCCACGCAGGTATTGCCCCCAGGCAGGCTGTGCTCACCCTGCTGCCAGCCTTTTGCTGCCACCCAAGGGTGCAGGTTCAGGAAACAGGATTGCTCCATCAGTCATACGTGCCCACGTGCTGAAACCCTTCCTTAGATGTGTTCAGGTGACCAGTGTACTCTGTGGCAGGCAAATATGTAGCTCTGCTTGTAAATTTCTGCTTCCATGGCCCATGACTTGCAGCATTTGAGGTCATCCAAGGCCTTGGTGCCCTCAGTTTTCCTGTCTTCCCTGTGCTTTCAAGGGCCAGTGTGTCTTGCCATCACTTGGGCAGCAGCATGAGCTGGGCACACAGGATGCTCTCACCAGGTTCTGCCTCACTTCTTGTGAAACGGCCCCATCTCCCCTAATACAGCACACGAGTGTGTGTGGTGCAAATCCAGGTGCCCAGAGCTCAGATGATGGGTCTGGCAGAGAAGCACGTGGGCATCGCTTAAGTTTGAGCTGCACAGGAGATTTACCAGTGGCAGGGAAGGGTAGCTGGGGTGGAAAAGTCAGGCAAAACACATACAGAGATATCCTGGCTATGAGCCTGCCATCTGTACAACCTCTTCAGCCCCTGTCTTGTCCCACTTCCCTACTGCAGTTTCTGACTGGTCACTACTGGGCGCTGTTTGATGGCCACGGTGGCCCAGACGCTGCCATCATCGCCTCCAACTATTTGCACTACTGCATCAAGCAGAAGCTGGAGGAGATTGTGGGAGGCATCACCGAGGCCCAGCCTCCCATGCACCTCAGTGGACGCTGTGTTTGTGACAGTGACCCCCAGTTTGTGGAGGAGAAGCACATCCACGCAGCAGACTTGGTGGTGGGAGCCCTGGAGAATGCCTTCCAGGAATGTGTGAGTACCCCATGCAGGGCACCAGTCCTGCTGGCCCAGGCAGCCACAGTCTGTCCTTCCCTGAGCTCAGGCTCTGCAGTCCTGCTGCTCACTGAGTAGGCTGGAGCATTGGGCCAAACCTTTCAATGTGCTGAGATCAGGCTGGGTCAGACCCCAAGGCCTGCCTCAGAGTTATATGTTGGCAGTGCTGAGCCAGAGCACAGCTACAGTAGCCCTGTACAATTCAGTAGGGCACGAGGGTGATTGTTAACACACTCATACAGCACGTACAGGTCTGAGCTCTCGCCATCATCCTCCTAAAGCATCCGTACTCCAGGTACAGCAGCTGTGTAGGCTGTACAGAAGCAACATTGTGTGTTTGCTGGTTTCCTTTGGCCCACCCACAGTCAGTTTTGGTTCTGGATTGCTGCTGGGAGGGATGAGACAGTTTGTAGAAGCAGCAGCCCAGATCACACCAGTCTCCAAAATTGTTGAAACCAACAGGATGAAGTCATTGGCCAGGAGATGGAAGCTACGAACCAGACAGGAGGTTGCACTGCTCTGGCTGCCCTTTATTTCCAGGGAAAGCTGTATGTGGCCAATGCTGGGGACAGCAGGTGAGTCATAATAAAAGGGAGAAGTTGCTGGGGATGAGAGCTGAGAGTTAAGCAAGTTTTCCAGCATCTTACTGTCCTGGTTTCAGCTGGGACAGAGTTTTAGAGAACACTGTTGAAAACCCACTGATGTTTAAGTTGTGTGAGCACTGCTCAGCAACAGTCAGGGACTTTTCAACTTCTCACCCCACCAGCAAGGAGGTTTGGGGGCACAAGAAGCTGGGAGGGGACACAGCTAGGACAGCTGACCCCAAATGACCCAAGGGATGTTGCAGACCACATGGCACCATGCCGAGTGTGTGAACTGAGGGGAAAGGTGGCCTGGGGCCACTGCTGGGGAAGTGGTTGGGCATCAGTCAGCAGGTGGTGAGAACTGCACTGGGCATCAGTTGTTTTCTATATTCTAATTATTTTCTCATTGTGATTTTTCCTCCGTTCCTGTCCTAATAAACTGTCTTTCTCTCAACCCACAGATTTTACTTTCCTTTTTCCCAATTATCTGTCCCATCTCACTGGGTGGGGGGGAGTGAGGGAGTGGCTGTGTGGTATTTAGCTGCCAGGTTAAACCACCACTCTCATTAAATCCCACAGTGCAGCCCAGCCATCCCCCCTACTGCCTGGCATGGGACCTGTTGGAAGAAAGGTGCTCTCATGCCTTCTGGAACAGTTTGGGGATTTCAAGGGACTAAAGCTGCCCAGACACAGCATCGGGGTGGTAATGCAGCAGTACACTCAGCCTGGCAGGTGTTTAAAAGTGAAGGGTGATTTCCCTCACTTGGCTGTGGCCCCCCATTCCTCTAACAGTGAGCTTGACCACTGTCAAACCAGGCAAGCACAGTTCTCTGCTGCAAGACTGCAATTGCAATGGAGTTATCTGACATGCAGTGGCATTTTTTAACAGTTTTGGGTGCACAGCTATTCTCTGGCCCAGCTGAGCTTTGCCTCTTCCCCCTTGCAGGGCAGTTCTTGTCCTGAAGGACAACATTGTGCCCATGAGCAGCGAGTTCACCCCCGAGTCAGAGAGGCAGCGAATCCAGCACTTGGTGAGTGACTCCTTCCACACATCAGACAATCCAGCTGCAAGCATCCCACTGGGCCAGAGAGGGCTTGTGGCAAGAGGACCCCCTGCTTTCCTTGAAGGCCACAGTGTGGTCATGTCAGCTGGCAGCAGCCAGGGAGGCTGAGGTACAAATTCAGCCACCAGTCTTTAGTATGAGAGATGTTCATGTCCTTATTGGAACATGCTTTCCCAAATCTCCATTCTGCTGCTGGAAGTACCAGTCCTGAGGCAGAAGCAAGTCTGGTGCCCTACTCCACTGGAGCAGAACCTGTCCATGTTCATCCCTCTGTTCCCTCCTACAGGCTTTCCTTTTCCCCAAGCTTCTGGATGGTGAATTCACCCGCTTTGAGTTTCCACGGAGGCTGAAGGGAGATGATGTGGGCCAGAAAGTCCTGTACCGGGATTACTTCATGGAGGGCTGGTGAGTCTCTTCTGCCTGAGGGCAAGGCTGCAGCACAGGGCAGCTTTACCTGCTCACACCAACAGGAAATGAAGGGAGAAGGGGCACATCCTGCTAGTGAGAGCAGCAGCACAATGGTAGGGAAGGATGCTGTGAGCAGCTCCCTCCAAAGGACCAGGGCCCTGGCAGGGTGGTTAGAAAATGGTCAGGATGGTCCTTCTGGCATCCACCGCAGTGGGGCTGGTGCAGGTACAAGCTGGGGAGGAAGGAGAGAGTGAGGATCACCTTGTCCCATCCTCTGTGAGCTCAGTGAACCACAAGGGTTCAGTCAGTCAGAGTGCTCTGGCTGGGTTGTACTATCAAGTCAGACAAATCCCAAACCAACAGTAAATTCTCTGTTCCAGGGGGTACAAGACGGTGGAGAAAGCTGATCTCAAATATCCTCTTGTCCATGGTCACGGGAAACAGGTAGCTTAATACTTTACACACTGGGAAGGCACAGGCACACTTCTGGGGTCCTCAGTGTCCCTGTCACTCATGTCACACTCCAGGGCACTACAGCACACCTGGAGCTCTGGTGTTCTCCAGCACAGCACAGTCCCACAGCCCAGATACAGCAGCTTCCTTTGCTGCCTGGCTGGTGTAACCCAGAGCACCCTCCTCCAGAGTACAGCAGAGCAGACAGCAGCCCTGAGGGAACCTGCCCTTTTCTCATCTCCCCTTGCACACAGGAACTTGATTCAGATGAGAACTTCATCAGCTCCCACTTGGGACTGTCTCCTTTAGCTCTACTGCCTTTCCCACAAGCTGTCCTCAAGGAAAGGCTGACAAATGAGCCTGGAGAGGGAAGGAGGAGGTAGGGAGAAGCAGTGATTGCAGCCATCCAGCATCAGCTTGCTGGGGTTGAGCAGAAAGTCCCCTCACCTCCCCCAGCACTACAACCCACATGCCACCCTGTTTACCGAGTCAGTGCAGAACCTCCTTTGCCAGGACAAACAGACACCCCCAAACCAACCCACATGTCTTTCTTGCCACCTTAAGCCAAGAGCAGATGCTACCACAGGCTTCCTGAGGTCTGCAGAATTACCCAGAGTGCATGTACTAACTCCAGAGCCGTTCACAGTCAGGCTGTTTCCACACCCCCATCAGGCCATTGCTCCTGATCATTCCTCCACCTCCAAAGTCTCCAGAGGCTGCTCTGGGTGATGCCTGGAGAAAGGTCCTAAAGCAACAAGTCAGTCAGGACAAGCCACACATCAGCCTTCAAAGGCACCACACCCCGACGTTTCAATCCTGTTTTGCTTTATTTGGGGCCAGGCTCGCTTGCTGGGGACTCTGGCTGTCTCTCGAGGCCTGGGGGATCATCAACTCAAGGTCATCGACACCAACATTGAAGTCAAACCTTTCCTCTCCTGCATTCCTAAGGTCAGTCACAGCAGGTGGGAATTAAACAAGCAGCTCCTCTGTAGCAGAGGAGAGACTTGACAAGTCTTAGCATTTCTCCAAGCACCCTGGTCCCAGTGTGTCATCTCCCAAAGGAAGTCTCATCTCCCTGAGCCTTCTGTTACATTGCAGGAATTGTCAGATTTACTCCTCTGCTTTTCAGGTGAGCGTATTTGACTTTGCTCTGCACGACATTAAGGAAGACGATGTCCTCATCATGGCAACTGATGGCCTTTGGGATGTCCTGTGCAACGACGAGGTGGCCCATGTGGTCAGGAGCTTCCTTGCAGAAAACAGGACAGATCCTCAAAGGTAATACCAGCTTTACCTTTGTTTTCCCTTCCAGAGAACCTGGTCAGACCTAAAGCAGGCTGAGATCCCACTGCTTCCAGGTCAGCTCTGGCATGACCACTCTTTTCTGTGATTTTGTAAACGGCCTGCTGATCTGTCCTCATCCTAAAGTAACAATTATAAACCTGATGTCTTAAACAACCTTGTTACTTTGACAACATAAAGCCACATCTCAACATCGTACTTAAGGGCAATAGTTGTTGTATTAGCCCAACCTTGCATTTTTTTACCCACAGGTTTTCAGAACTGGCCAAGCGCTTGGTATGCAGAGCAAGGGGAAAGAAGAGAGGCCACCAGTGGATGCTGGATGACAGCCACGAGGCATCCTATGATGACATCTCTGTATTTGTCATCCCCCTGCACAACAGGGAAGAGGACTGACTGTCAGGATGACACACAGCATCCCTGTGTTCCCTTACTGAGGTGCCATTCAGCATCAGCCTCAGACTGAGGATTTCTGCTGCACACTTGTTCGCTCTCTTCCAGCAAAACCATTTGCAGTGGAACCTGAAATGCACAGCCTTGGCACAGGATGAACAAGATTAGCTCCTTAACAACATGCAGGAGAAGCACAGTGGGCAACACCCTTTCTCATTGTTGGACCAAGGAGAACTTGCAAAAGGGGCCACACAAGCCAAAGGGCACTTTTCCTAAGATCTTTGCGGTACAGTGACACTCAAATCCATATTTCTACTGATCCCTCTCCCTTTTAAATATTGAACAATAAGGATCAATTGAGATCCAGCCAGTCTGAAGAGCTGGCTTTTAATCAGACTTGAACTAAGCTGAACTGGATGCATAAGCTAAAGCATCTCTCATATCCGTTTGCTGTAACATGAGATGTGCTGAAAACCTGGGACCTGCTGCCAAGCACAGCTGTGCCTGTGGCATTGGAATGCTGGAGCAGTAGCCCAGACCTCTTAAGACATTTGCCATTTGTAGGCAGCACCACCTCAAACCCAGATGTAGCCAGGTGAAGCTTCACCCTGGTGTACAGAAGCGTCCTGTGCAACAATATGTGCCTTACTCTTATTTAAGAACACTGAAGTGTATTAATAACATGGTGTACAGATTTCTAACAAATCTTAATCCACACTTGCTGATGCTTTCTCTATTCAGGTAATTTCTGACAGCAAAGCAGGTTTTGTAGCAGCAGCACTGATGAGAACCAAGGTGTTTTAGTGCATCAGCTGATTCAGTAGAAGAGCTCCAAGTAAAATAAAACCGGTTTGTTGCAATTTGTCTGCAGTGCTGAATCTCAAGCACTTACTCCAGCAGAAACACGGTGCAGTAGACATGCCAGAGTTGTCTTAAACTCTGAGGATCTGCTTCCCAACCTGTTTATTAGCCAAGCAAATTCAGGTCTGGACAAGCTTCCCATCTCCCCGAGTCCCCAATTTGGTTTTCATTATTCATTACACAGATTCCAGGATTCCAGAGAAGCAGCCAAACCCCAGTGTGTGTTTAAGTTCTGCAAGGATGGAAGTCCAAATAAAAGTACTTTTATTTTTTTCCCATGCATCTTACTGTGGTGTTATTCGTGAGGGAATAACTGGGGATTTTACACAGACCTGGGCTGGAGGAAACCAGCCTCTGAAAATCACTGGGGAGTTTTTGCTTTTAATGCATCTTTGCATGTCATCAGAATAAAGAAACATTTCTCTCCAGCTTCACTTTCCCCCCCATCCTCTTGAGTTTGACCTGAAAACAATGCACATGAGGATTCACCCATGGTGATACTGCTACTGTCCCTTCAGTAGCTGTAACACATTTATATGCATTAACTGTAATGATCCGAGATTCCTGTTACCCAAATGCAGTAAGTTATTTTCTCACCTTCTTGCTGAGAAAGAGCTCAGCTCCTCCATCCAGACCACAGGGTGCTGTGAACACTTCAGCTAGGGTACAATAGCTCCATAAAGCAGCTGTCACAAGGCTTCTCTATTGTGATACTATCAGAGGCAAAAATAACCCTCTTAAAATGGGCAATTTATGGAGGGGTAACTGCAAAGAATCACCATTTCCACTACAGAATTTCTGACTCTACAAAATAAAGGGAGATTTAAAAAAATGGATGAGTTCAACATTCCCCCTCTAAGAAACCAGCAAGTTGTATCACACTGGACAAATGGAGAATTCACAGCACTCAAGTGGTCTCTCTACAAAATATTTATTGGTCACAGCCACAACATTGAATTCTCCACATATGTAGTATTTTGCGACAAAGCATAATTTGACTTTATGTATTTACACTCACTGGCAGATACCACTGAAGAGTCCAACTCCCTATAGCAGCTCACGACCACAGAGACCAGTTTCTGAAAGGCTCACCAGGTTCCTGCCCCTGACCCAAAACCAAGGTGAAGTCTCTTAAAGTGCGAATACAGCCAAGAGGCATTGAAAAAGATACCCTGCTGCTTCCAAATTTATCAGTTGCTCCTGCACCCTCTAAAGCAAGGATTGGAGCATGAATCCAGGACCTGGGAGCTTCAATAAATAAAACTCTTTCAAGACTGACTTGGGAGAATTACACCTGAAATCTACAGCCCAGGCAGATGGGCTCAGCCACCACACTGCTTACTTAGAGGTGGGTTCTTGAGTCTCATTTCCCCCTTGTTTTGAAAAAAGGTCTTTATTTCATCCCAAAGAACATGGGGAGATTTACATGTTAGATTTGGAGGGGGAATGCTGTTTACTGCTTGGCCACTCTGTGAGACCTGGGAAGGCTGTTTTTCATCAGATCTGCTTCTCATTAGCTGGTGGCCCTAAAGAACACAGGAATTGCAGCCCTGAGACTCCTAGAGAAGCACACAGAAGCTGAACGCTAAAAGCTGTATTCACCTTTCCTGTTCAACTGGCTGAAACACACCATTCTCAAGTTCCCTGACAATACTTGGCACATTCCCCTCTTTTAAAGCCAGATGGAAAGCACTCCATGCTACATCAACAGAGATGTCTCTGCCTGTGTGGGTGGTAGTGGGCCCTGGGAAGGCACTCAGCTGCCACCCCTAACAGAGAACTAGTGCTGTTGTGCATGAGCCTCAACATCTCTCTTCACTCCAAAAAGCAACTGATGTGCTTGCGTGTATCCTCCTAAACCACTACTCTGGTTCCCTTTTTCCTCAACATTCCATGCCACAACATACCATGTTTTACAACATTGCAAGCAGAAGAGAGCTGAACAACGACCTCTAGACAAGTCTCAAAACCACATTAACAAAGAGCTTTTATAGAATAAAAGACTTCCAAATGCTTCCCTGTGAAAAGTAACATGGAATATGGCCAGAGGCTCTGTTCACTTCCTCAGGCAAAAGACTTGAAAAACCTCAAAGATAATTTGCTACTGGACACTGAAGTTTGACTGTTAAAACACACTACAAACCCCAAATATCTGTATTTTACAAAAGTACTGCAAATACCAACCAAGGTAAAATAGCACCAAGCAGCCTGAAATGCAACACTGCTGAGTTAAAGTGGCTGAAGCCGGAGAAAACCACCTCCCTTTGCACGGGGCAGTTTTATTTATAGGCAACGGTGGGACAGCACAGGAAGAGGGGTGGCATGAACCTCTCATCTGCATCTCCAGCAGCAGACCTGTGTGGCAGAGGGAAAGGATCTATCACCCTGCTGGAGGATGGCAAACTCACATGGCAGACCTGTGGGCAGAAATGCCCCGTGTGGCAGCAGCAGCAGAGCCACAACCACAGCACAGATAAAGCTCCACGGTGTGAGCCTGCCCCATGTGGGCTCCTGCACTGCCACAGGCAAGCGCTGTGACCTGAACTGAACCAGCAGCACAGCAGTGCTCAGTGCCCATCCCCAGCTCTCAGCATAGCACCTTTCCACAGGCAAGGACTGGGAGGGGGAAAAAAACGGGCAAGAAAAAGCAAAACAGAAACAGCTGTTCTACAAGGCATTTACTTTTCCAGGGAGTCATGATGCAAACCGTATACAGCTGAGATTAACTCTGCTGTAACAGGGGAACATCATGACAACTGACCTAAGGAAAATGCTCCAGCATGGTTTGCCAGTATGGAGTAGCACTGGAGAGCAGAGAGAATATGCCTGTTACTGTCTTGTCACCTTGCCTGCTTTTCATATTTATGAGCAGGGAAGCACATGTGACTGGGCAAGGGAAAGAACAGACTTCCCAAGCTGTGACCCAGCACAAACCCAAGTGTGTTTGGAAAGGCAAGAATACAGTGAACACTACATTTTCGCCAGGCCTGTCCCAGCTTGCTGGTGGATGCGTTCCATTAAAGCAGCATTTCAGGAAAAAGAAACTGGCACTGGGCTTGAAGATCAGCCTGCCAGCTGTTCTGTGCTACGAGCCCCTGAGGCAGGAGAGCATGTCCCTCCCCATCTCTTTGCAGGGGCATTCCTTGGAGCAGGGCCACAGCGAAGCAGAGTCAGCACAGTCATGCCTAAGATTTTTTAAAGTAATTTCTGAATACACCATCTGACAAAAGATGCACTGCTCTTTTGGAGCTATCACTGGAAACCTGCAGACTGGTACCAAACTGTGTGATGGACTACCCACATGTCAGTTTTACCAACAAAGAGATACCGGTCTAAGCCTGGTGTGGGATGAATTTCATGGAGCTTATTTACAGACCAGGGGGTGGAAAACTGCATCAGTGAAAGTAAACAGCCTAGACACCTCACATTACTGGCCCACATCATATTCTTTTATATCTAAAAGTAAAAAAATATGGCCCATTCCCACTGCCCACCCACCCCATGATATTTACAAGTAAGATCAGCCAAGATGGGTACATAAGGAAGATACACAGGCAGACTGTGCTTTCAGTCTCAGTGTGGTTTCTCCGTCTTCCTGCTGACAGACTCGTTTATTGCTCAGGACACTGGCTGGACCTCAGCAGTGCTGTCTGCGCCTCCAGGATGTTGATACAGCAAACAGCAGGGAGGCTTTGGCAACCTCTGAGATTGGATGAAACCTGTGCAGCTGCACACTAAATTGCCAAAAAAAAGGATGACAAGATGCATGAGGTACATTCACAGCTACCCACACTTCTGGTGCATGTTCCACTGCAAGAGAATCCAGCATCTGCCGTTGAAAAGTGTCAGTGTTCACATTTGGCACAGAAGTATTTGCATCTGTGGACTGCAGTGAAACCAGAGATCCCAGACGTTAAAAACATGCACTTACGGAAAGGAACTGCACGTTCCACGTTGGAACATCAATAGCCTTGTGCACTTACAGCAGGAAAACATGTAATTACAGCTTTAAAAAATGCCACAAACATTTTGTAGATAAAACAGACTTCACAGCTCTAAGAAATAACACTGTGTCAGTTCCATCTTGGGCTAAAGCCTGCCAGGCATGGACTGGAAGGTAAGAACTTGTAGCATGCTGCTTCTTGAGCGTGCCAGGAGGCCAAGAGGAGCAGTCCTCACAACGGAATGCTGTAGATAAAGGTAAGACATGGAAAATACGCAGGAACAGGAACACAGTCTAGGAGATGTAGGCAATTCCAAAACTATACTTGCAATGACATGCTGCTGTTAGCGGTATGGGAGCCAATCAACAGCAGCCGCAGTGCAGGAATTAGTCATCGATAGTTGGTAACCAGAAGGCCTACAGAGGAGGAAAGAAAACAACTTTTCATAGCAGAACACAAACCTCTCCTACAGCACCCTGTAGGAGCTGCCACCTTCTGCAAGCACACATCAGAGGCACTGAGCCTTCTCAGATTCATCTCTGGAAGGGTCTGCACCTCATGGAGCTCAGAGGAACTTAAAGCCCATTTCCTTACCATATTGGAACAAGCACTAGCGAAAGTCATAAATTTTGGATTGAACTGCAGACAGGTTATAGGGCCTGTGTGTTTTCCATCTAGGACAGCCACCTTCATCCCACTTTCCCCATTCCAAACATGGATCTTCCCATCCTCCGAACCTGAAGGCAGGAGTGGAAAACAAGATATGCAAGGTGCACTGCAGAGGTCAGCAGAGGAAAGGAAGAACATTTTCTTCTGTCAGAACTTGAGGACCAGGCAGGTCTCAACTTTGTAACACAACCTTTAGAGTTCTTCAAGTGTCACAAGGGCATGTTCAAAACATCACAGAGTTAAAACACCTGTATCCAAACAGCAGATTTGTATCTTTCTACTGCAGAGACTCAACTGCACAACAGAGCAACACTATTCAGGCAAAGATGTTAGCTATTGCCACCCAGTAGGAAAGGAAAGCTGACATCTCCAGCTGGAGGAGACCCTGGCCAACCTGCACCAATGTGCAGAGGCCAAGTGCTGGGGAAAGAGTCATTGTTCACACAAGTTCTCAGTTCAGACATAGGTAAATGTCCCACTCAGTGGGCACAGAATCAAACCAAAGCCTTTACCACGGAAGGAAACCAGATTTCAATGCACTAAGCCAAATACCAGAACCTCCCCTGGAGATATCAACTCCCCACATTACTATAATGGGACAGATTTTTCACTTTAAATGACATTTTTCAAACTCTGAGGCTGAGAACTTTATATTTTTATAACTCAGTTCTGCTTTAGACTCATTTTAAATAGGATTCCTAATAAAAATGCAAAGCATTTTCTTCTGCTTCTGTATTTGTGCCTGTAGCCTTTCAGGAAAAAAAAATTTAGCAGCACAAGCTGCAACTTAATCATATGTAAAAACTGAACGGGAATAAGTGGTTTGGAACTTCTACTACTGTTTTAATTTGGAAGAGCACAACAGGAAGGCAAATATGTGCAATGAAGTGCTCTCCAGAGACAAACTAAACAAAAACCCCACCCCTCTTCTCTGCAATCAGGAAGTTCTCAGCCAGAACAAAAGAAAAGTTTTGCCAAGACCATCACTCATACGGGAAAAATGAGGATCTGGATACCAAATTACCACAAAGTTAAACATGTTTGATACAGCGGCCACAGAAATAAGAACAAATAATAAAGTTCTAGGAAGGGCAGCACCACACAAGCTCATCTGACTTGTGTCCACAGGTCCTGCTGGACAGCAGGTGACTGAAGTCCTCATTTTGGGGTGCCCAAGGTGCAGCACCAGGCTGTGCAGGAGTTTCAAGCTGTACAGCTGTACCCCTCAGGGGTCCATCTTGCAGAGGGCCAGGGGAATCATACACTGGGAGTCACTGGGATGCCTATAGCTTCTGTCAAGGATTAAGAGCTTGTTCCACAGACATGGGGATTTACAAGAGCCACATGAACAAACCTGAGCTGCCCCAGAACATCACCAGTACAGAACACCCCTGGGGGTGTACAAATTCACCAAGCTACGAGACCAGTCACCCAAGCACAAACATGTGCTTTGGTCATCAGAAACAGGGGATGGCCACAACACAACTACAAAATGCTGTGAGGCAGCACATGAGGGCATCCTAGCCACAGGGAGAGGACACTAACAAACTGTGTGACCAGTCTTCCCACACTACAAGTTTCCTGGCTTCTTATCTATTTTGGAACAGCATTGATATATAAGAAAATAAGAAAAGACTTCTTGCAGGCTTTTTTACATTTCAGTCTAGAGAACACTGAGCATTCTAACAAAACAGAACACTGTCAGTACAAAGAAAGCTTACAGCTGCATTGTATTACTTAAATACATTCTGTTTCCCAACAGACACACCTTTAGCCCTACATAACATGCCTAATTTCAGAGCACTGAAATTCTTGCCAAGAATTATCTTACCTATCATGATGAACTGAGAGTCTGGTGTGAATGATGCCTCCAGCGTGACAGCCTTACTATTGTTATAACCCTATGGCACAAAACAGGAGAATATGTAGTAGAGACTGTGTCCACAGCAATCTCACAATCAAAGGGCACCTG